CATATCGCTCTGTCCCCAGAGCAGCTGTAGGATTCTTTGACCACTGCCTGGTTCATCTTATACTGACTTATAGGCAAAAACTTAAGTCTGCTAAACCTGTAGTAAAGACTGTAGAGAGATGGTTTTTGAAGCTGCCACCAACGATCTGGACGAGCTCACGGAATCTGTAACATCATATATCAGTTTCTGTGAAGACGTGCATCCCTACCAGGACTCATTTAACATTCAACAATGATAAGCCATGGTTTACAGCAAAACTCGGACATCTTCGTCAGGCCAAAGAGGACGCCTGCAGAAAGGGGAACAGAGTCTTGTACAATCAGGCCAGAAAACACACCGAATAAGGAGATTAGAGTGGCTAAGAGGAACTACACTAAAAAGCTAGAACACCAGTTTTCTGCCAACAACTTGCTGAAGACCTGAATGAGTTTTACTGTAGATTTGAAACTCCCAGTCTAACACCCTACACCCGCTCTGAACATTTCTCCACACAGCCATTAACACCTCCTGCAACCCCCCCTCCCCCACTCCTGCACTTCAGATCAGTGAAGATGATGTGCGCCAGGTCTTCAGAAAGAGCAAGAGAAGAAAGGCACCAGACCCAGACGGTGTGACACCAGCCTTTCTGAAAATCTGTACTGACCAGCTGGCCCCCATCTTCTCACAGATCTTCAACATATCACTGGAGCTGTGCGAAATTGTCCCTAGCTCTATCTGTCAATGGATCACCAGCTTCCTGACAGACAGGCAATAGCTAGTGAGAATTGGTAAATTCACATCCAGGACTATCACGATCAGCACTGGCGCCCCTCAGGGTTGTGTTCTCTCCCCACTGCTCTTCTCCCTCTACACCAACGACTGCACCTCTAAAGACCCCTCTGTCAAGCACCTGAAGTTTGCGGACGACACTACTGTCATCGGTCTCATCCAGGACGGCAGCCAACTGAGGAAATTCAACCTGCCACAGGAGCTGCTGAAACAGTTTTACTCTGCTGTCATTGAGTCTGTCCTGTGCACTTCAATAACTGTCTGGTTTGGTTCAGCTACAAAATCAGACATCAGAAGACTACAGAGAACGGTTCGGACTGCTGAAAGGATTATTGGTGCTCCCCTGCCCACCCTCCAAGAACTGTATACATCCAGAGTGAGGAAAAGGGCTCAGAAATCCCTCTGGATTACTCTGGATCCCTCACATCCAAGCCATCTCCCTTTTGAACTTTTACCATCTGGTCGGCGCTACAGAGCACCGAATACCAGGACAGCCAGGCACAAGAACAGTTTCTTTCCCCAGGCAATCTACCTCATGAACAGTTAAATGTTCTCCCATTGTGCAATAAAAGTATGTGCAATAACCTTATTCTTATTTATCACCCTACATCCTAGTACAGCCCTACAACTTATTTTTTATTCTATCCCTATTCTATTTTATCTATAGCACACCTGTACATACAATTTATTCTTTTTTGTGGTTTATTTATATTTATATATGTGTATTTTATTCACATCTTATTTTTACTATCTGTGTGTTGTTGTTGTCTCTGTTTACTGGAAGCTTGTGACACTAAAACTAATTCCTTGTATGTGCAAACATACTTGGCAATAAAGCTCTTTCTGACTTCTGACTTCTGAATACATCTTGAGGAAAGGGTTTCTGAGTATGTGACTGCAATTGCAACATCAGTGTGTTACTGCATGTTAAAAATGTAAAAAAGCACCAACACTCAGCACTTTTGCTCCAAAAATAGCAGCGATTTGTCCAAGATGCATCAGGATCCGACATGGTCATATACATTTCTGACCTACATTATGTGCGGTTTGAGTTTGAGTGATTGGATCACAAAATTACATTAAATTGCCTTAGATGAAAAATAAATACCATCCCTTGTGAAAAAAAGTTGTGTGCCTAATTGAATTTATTGTGCAATTGTAGAGTACTTCAAATCTAAAAAGAATATTAAAAAACTACTAAGAATATTTAAAAACTGTGCTTGCAGATAATATATTAATAAAATAAAATGCCACTTAAAGAAAGTACACTTTCATGACAATGACTTAATTTTTTTCATGTTTTAAAGTACACTTGGAGCCAGAGTAACTAACAGCTTGTGTCAGCGCAAACCGTCTTTTGGCATTAAAATAGTTCTGTCAGGATTTACTAAAGCCGTGCAGTGAAGAATTAGCGCTGAAAAGGCGTGGACCATTATTTTTGCGCCTGACCTTACTGAATATGCATTTTCATGTAGGAGTTTCCCTTTCAGACGCAAAATTTATGGGAGGAGAGTATTTAAATGAAACACGCAACGCGATTTACTATCATTTGCGCTCATCAAATTACCAGTGGCGGCTCGTGGGTTTTAAAATAGAGGAGGCACATTAATTGTATTGGTCTGGGATCTCTGCCGATTATTATTATTATTTGCTTAACCACTTTAAAATGGCTTTTTGGTTGCTTTTAGTCAGAAAACGTAAAGAAAACAACATACAGCAAGATAATATAATTTCACTTACCTGGCCTATCACTTGAAGCAAACATCCATCCCTTCTTAAACGGGTCATATGATGCGATTTAAATTTTTCCTTTCTCTTTGGAGTGTTACAAGCTCTTGGTGCATAAAGAAGATCTGTAAAGTTGCAAAGACTAAAGTCTCAAATCCAAAGAGATATTCTTTATAAAAGTTAAGAATCAACCACGCCTACCTAAAACGGCTCATTCTAACACGCCCCCACCAAATACACCAAATAATGTTCTTTTTAGCAGCATCATATGACCCCTTTAAAAGTCTGTGTTAAAAGAGAGCTGCCTGTCGCGCCATTTAATTAAGCCGACTGCTGTAGCCCATATCCAGCTTAGGCTGTTTTCCCTAAATTTGTATATACCCTTGCGAGATTTCTTTTCTCAACACTCCTCAGTGCTGAAAGTGAACACTCGATGGTGATTGGCAAATTTTTTTACGAACGGAGGCACGAGAGCTCAGCTCTCCCCTGGCCTCCCCCTACCCTTCCCTATCATTAGCGGTTGTAATTACATCCGCAGATTCAGCACATTCGCGATAGAAAAGCGGCGCTTTCATGTTATGGTATTACAACTGTGAAATTACAAACAAAAAATACACATTCTGAGACATGAACTGAAATGAATCGTGAATTTTATTAACATTAAATCGTCCTCCTCCCATTTTCACCTCAAAATTATGGGGAAGCTGTGCCTCCCCTGCC